ATGGTTACAAAAGTAAGTCGTTTAATCCACTCACGAATTCCGTGGGAATTCAATAGCCGCTCCTTTGTACGTGCAAACTACTCACAAGTGTGAGTAGCACCCCACTGCGCTAGTGGTCACTGAATCAAAGGAGAAATTATCACATGAACTATCCACGACACAGATCAGCCGCATAAAGAGGGGTATGTTTGCGTTATGAGAGCGGGACATGCTCGCTCCCAAATCCTTTTCATGTAAATTGATGGCCTTCCCAAAGAGGCTTTCAAACATACTTTTCAATTTGTCAGGCGCTTCTGCTTACGCATTTATTATTGATTCATAAAACAATCCCACTATCTTCCAGGTGGCTCTAGTTGATCCGGTCGACAACGAACCGTGCATAGCGGTTTGGCGCTACACGGATAAGGGAACCCGAGTTCGAATTTCCACCCGATCTGGCCATACAATCCCATTGCCAACATCTTCCCGCCAGTTGGATGATTTGACCGACCCGAAAGCCGCTAGTCGTGGTCCAAAAGACACTCCGAACAAGGTAGTGGAACGTGTCACGTTCGCTCCAGCCTCTCCAGATAGCCCGGTAACGTTTGAAGAGGATTTGTCTATCCAATACGGATTGGATCCACAACCCAAACCATGTCCAACATATTGGTACTAGTCGTGTAACAGAAGACCCTTTTTCTGTACCGGTAGTGATTGAAAAATGTGTACAGCAACCATTTGGTCGTCCAATCAGTATTGAGTTAATCACAAAATGTATTTTCTCAAGCGCAGCTGCTAATTGTTTTCGTAATCAATCAAAGGGGTTACAACCTCATAAACAACTGTAGATGGAGGAAATTCGGACCTAATTCAGTCACAGATCATATTCTTTAGTTCAGTCGTTTGTTCGCTACCAGTGTGGGACTGTTTTTTGACCGGAAAGGTGGACGTTCGTTCTTCTCTGTTCTAAATAAAAAGTGCTCATGTGTGCATATTAGAACCATTTCTAGAGGGCAAATACTGTACTGATACCGGATTTATTTCAGCATTGTCTTGAGGCACCCTTGAAAGTGTTTAGCAGGGAACTACCTGTTCTCTTTGGAGTTGCCACCCTTAGTTTTTGCGGGTGGTCCATGTCTGTTTCTGGTTATTTTGAGATTTGCAGCCAGCAAAACCTCGGTTTCATGGATCACAAAGTGAGTTGCGAGTAACAAACCGGTTGGGGATATAGACAAATCAAACCGAGGATCGAGAGCATGAACGGATTATATTTGTTAGGTACATGGAATGTGGTTAAAATATAAGTACTCGTGATGAAGGTATCGCTTGCCACGAGAGAAAGTGGGAACATGACAATGGCAAACATAGAAACGAAAACGTAACTAGAAATTGAGATAGAAGAGAGAGCGGATGGGGAGTTATGCGAATCGTAAATTCACTTGCCATATGAAGCAATAAAGGCCATAGGATATCACAGCGGACAAACAAAGAAATGCTGGTAAACGGTCAATGACCGCGGTGGGCAATGTTACTAAGCGCATGCGCCAGAACGTAAGGGTGTGTTAGGGTCAGTGTTCGTTCAAATGTTTTCTGATAACGAGGTCGCAGTTGGAGTTGAACCATGTAGTTCCTTTGATTTGTGTGCAAGCGTTGTGGTTCCATCTGACGAAATTCAAATAAGCACTAGGTTAAAATCGATTCATAGTCCTGGATGTGATTAATTTTCCAAAAAGTCTTGAATATGTTCGTTTGCTTTGAAGCAGCTCGCGGTTGAATGCTTACAGGTTATTGTGAAAACTGACACCAGAACCTGAAAATGAACACAAGATCAATTGTTGATCAGCGGTCTTCCCTTATCCATGCCATATAATTCCATGTACTTAAAACCATCTTGATTTGATTTTTTATCAATAACCTCAGTTGGTCTGGTCATGTAAAAAACCGTTTCGCAGAAGCTCAGGAGGCGTATGTGTTGCGCTCCTAATCCTCAAAAGGTACGTTTTGTCCCGCTGGCTTTAAAGGCTTCTTGTTGATTTCCCGGGCCTTCCGTAGTCGAATGCATCTCGTACGACACCGTAAAACTCACGTACAAGGTTTTATCTGACGATTTTCATCTCTCACATGTTCATCTTGGTACGTGTTTTCTCCCCATCCACACGCATAGGTCCTGCTTCTACCTAGTCTTTACAAACTCAGAAGTTCTTGCATCCCCTGCTGTTATGCTACACATTTTTATTGACGCACTATTCCTCTGGATAAAGGCAACAACTTCTGTTAAATCGATTAGATTTGCTAGACCGAATCTGAGGACATCAGGACTGATTGATCTCTTTTAAGGAAAAGCTTCCAACGCTTCGATAACCTTAATCTCAGTAGTGAGGTTGCCTTTTTTATTTATACATCAATAAGTATAACAAGCATTTTATTTATCTACTGTCGTATTGCAACAAGTTCAAGAATTGAACTGAAATACAGAGCTTCACGCTGATAAGTTATTCGAAAAATACGTACCTTCGTTGACCGGTTCACAGGAAGTGTTTTCATTTTCTGTCTGTGACGATCTAGGAGAGATGTTTTCCACACCAGCCGGGACTGCATCTTTTGATGCGGGGGTCAGATCTGTAATAAAAACATAACTCAACAGTATCGATCGATGGCAACTCGAATGTGGGGTCGATCAAAAAAACTCGCCCGAAGAGACGCTGAAGATAATGAAAAGGGCGCAAAAATGAATGAATTATATCGTTCTTTGTTAACAGTACACGAATATTCGAAGCGGGACTCGCGTTTTCGGTGCAGTTCGCTACGGACGACGGCGTTTATTGGGACCACTTATTTAGCATTTCTTTGTAACGTATATGAAATGAGAAAGGATAATAATACAAGTGAAATGACAATGTGGTTGGTTTGCTTTCAAGCCTCAAACTGAGGTGTTAAGTGACGATCCAGGTTAACTGCAAGCTTTTCCGATTGAGTCGAGTTGCGGTGCAAGTACATCTCACATATTGTATGCTATCTCAAAGTGCAAAATGCTGTAACCGATTTGGCCAACTCAAAATCTCAATCTAAACTGGGAAATAACACAGAAGGCAAGCAAATTTGACTACTATCAGCTAAATTTCTTTCAACTATTGCTGTTCCAACAATGCTATTTACGATGCATCACACGAGTCCAGTAGGGCATTAATGAGCAGTGAGGAAATCGCAATTGCACAAATTTTGGTGGATGGGTTTGCTCGGCATGAGATGTTCACCGGTGCAGATAGCCCGAGGGAGTCAAACTACCAATTAGTTCGAAAACTTTAAACAATAGACACGGCCTCGCAAGGCTGTTTTGTGTGTTCCCTAGAAAATAATCTGATCAACGTTTAAAGACACTAGATGCAGAGTGCTGTTCGTGCATCTGTTTGCATAAAATGCTTAACCTTTCAGTTAAGAGTAATATTGGAACATGAAAATGCAATTTACCTGCCTGCATACAATAAACTGGAAAAATATTTTGCGGAAATCGGTTGGAAACATAGAGTTGCAATCCCTTCACGTAGGTCTGTATTTAAAAATAAGGTACTTAGCAATCGATTGAGACCCGCAAAAAAACGCCAGAATATTGACTGATATTTATTTAATTTGGTGAGGACTTAAGCCTACGATTCCGTGGAAGCTATGTTCCAAAAAGGAACTACTAATAGACCCTAAAAATACCAGCAATAGTTTTACGTTAACTCATCACAAGTGAAACAATTGTGATTTTGAGGGCACCAACAGCGCTGTATTGAGTTCCCTGAAACGAACGGTCTGCCATAACAGTGCCGCATGCATCAAAGATGATGTGTGGGCCTTAACTGGGTCAGCATGTTCATTTCCATTAATGCTCAAAACACCGCTTAGATTGTTACGTCGAAAACCCCCAAGCTTTCCAAATTACACTGCGATGACATCCGGGCCAGGTGTGACGCAACTTGGCGGACAATCCGGGCCTTACATATATGAGATCTTCGAAAAGCAAACAGCAGCTTTCAAGATAAACCAATTAGAGAAAACGATGAATCGTTAAACATGAGTATCCAGCCTGCGCAACACACTTTGGGAGATTTGTGAGGATGTGGTAATGATCAATGCCAAATTTCTGGTTGGTTTGCGCTTATTGGAGCATGATAGTCCAGTGCCACTAGGGAGCAAAAGCACAAAGCAGGAAAATGGTCATTAATTCCAGCCCGAGCATTCAGTTCTTACAAGAACATTACCGCAAGGCACTGCTCCACACTCATGTATCTTGATCAATCGTTTCTTCATGACACTTGCTGACTGAGACAACAGCTCGAACCGAACAACCAAATTGGAAGGACATGAAATAAAACTTTGACAGATATTAACTCTCCAACTTGCTTAGTTTGTGAACAACCATCGATGGGTCTTACAGGTGCGCCAGCCATCAAACTAGAAGCAAGGCGCAGTCTCTTAGTCCCATGTAGTCTATTTCGTTCTCTTTAACAACCACAACAGTTTAGCTTTCACAGAACTAAATGTGGCATTTGACAAATGCGTATCTAGCTTCTTTTATCAGCGAATGTTTTTGGTTTCCCAAACTGAGCATGGAATTTCTTCTGTGTGGTAATCAATCAGCGAACGACGCCGAACCCTAACATTGATATGGGATAATCCTTATCTCCTGCAGGCGAACCTTTAGATAGCAATCTCTGGAAACACTAGTGTCCATTGTCACATTCAATGTGTTCACTCTTGCGCAGTTTACTACTCCAGATCACTCGATCAAGGACATGCGTGATACAGGACAGTGGTTAAAAACGAATAGAAGTTTACGGTGAAAGTTGAATACACTTTCTCTTCATAAGTAGCCGGATGAGAGGTTAGCGTGTCATTCAATTACACTCCGACAGTATTACATCATTACATCACATAAATATAATGACATTAAACAATGGTTTAAACTGAGAGTTGGAATAATACCAAAACCAGATTAATTGACAGAGCATGAGCAAATAACCACAGTTAACCTGTGAATATGCAAAACCTACAGGGTAACGGAATTCCAAATTTCGAAATGTGCCCATACTAGCATTTAGAACACAATTTCAGACCAACAATTGTTTAAAATAACTCATTATCATGCCATTACAGTTCATATGAGGGGCAAAATCATAGGGGTTGAGAGGAGAACAATAAAATTTGAGGAATCGTTCACTTCTTGTATGCGTGTTTGTGTGTGTTGCACATCATATTCTCAAATCTGTGCTTCCGGGGTTTGCAGTTGTGTCACATTGGTCGTGTGACCCAGTTCTGAGGGATCGCTGTTGTTGTGTGTGGGCAAGGGGAGGTTGGTGGATGAGTGGGTTCGCGAATCCAGGGGAGATGGAGTGCTTGGATAAGACGTTTCGGGGGTCAAATGCTTAATACATATGGCCTTGGCTATCGCCAACGTACGCATTCTAACTTATTTGGACAGGTTAGGGGTACCTGATAAATAATGCGGAATGCTTCACTTGGGTCAACACGATGGCCAGTGAGCGAGAATCGCACTTGTGATAGATCCGGAAACACCTCGACTTAGCCAGCGGGGATGGTGTTCTTTTATGCCGACCGACGTAGAGTGCGTCACAAACGCATCTGAACGAGTAAACAATCATTGAAGCGGTCAACATCGGTAGTTCCGTATGG